AATTTGAAAAAATTAAGTCTCTTCGTGGAATTTTATGACAATCAGGAATTTCGCTACGGAACATAAAGACGAGAGAAAATTCGCCGTTAAATAAGATCAGAGAGAAATAAAACTCTCACTAGATTTTTCTGGGCTTAGTGTTTCTATAGAATTTTTACTCATCATAAAGTATTTTTAATATAATTACTGTCGTTTCTTTCAATACCATGTCTTTATGTCTACACGGCGACGTGGTTGAAATAAAAAAAAATTTTGTATGAGTGCGCAAAATTCCTTAAATAGCCATTTTCATATTTATTTCCCACAAATCCCCATTCAAGTTGGCCCGAGAGGCCAAGTTTACTCCCATTTGTGGGAGAAACGCCCAGTGTATCATGTTTCGGGAAACCTTAAAAGCCTCCCCCCCCCCCCCCCCCCCCCCCACCCCACCCCACCTCACCCCACCGCGATTCATTTGTCATAAATAGCCCAAATTTTAGCGTAATTGATGTTTTTTTCGGCCGCAGAAGTCTGCCGACAATTATCGGCTTGCAAGGAAGGGAAAAAACAAAAAGGTACTAAAAAACTGTCGTGAAACTTTGGAAGAGAGAGAGAGAGAGAGATAGAAAGCTAACATCTCACCCAATTTACCAAATTTCGTTTGAAACGGGAGAAAATGGGAAAAAAAAATTACATGCGTTCAATTTTGACTAAGAAGTTAGCCTGATTTCATTTTAGATCTCCTGGATATTTTTGTCAACAATTTGAGCCCAGATAGTTTTTTTAAGTTGCAACGTCACGCAAATGTGAATTAATTTTGCCAAAACTTGAGAAATGTGCTTTTCGAAAGGATAGATGGGAATTTCAATTGGTTCTAATCGAAATTGACCGCATTTAGAGGACAAATAATTTCGCTTATGATAAAACACTTCCAAGCGTTAAGGTCAACTAGTTTTCGTCTGAAATACTACTGATTTGGATGCCAGAGTTGGAATAAATAAAAAGCCACTTTTTTGCATTATTATCTATAGCTCAATAGCAATTTTAGTAACATGCAACACATTTAACAGGAAAGTACCCTGAAATTTATTTATTTCAAATGGCAGGCGTTTTGATAGTTATCACTAGCCTTTTAACCGACTTCGGATTTCACAGAGAGGAGGAGCAACATCAAAGTGACAAAAACTAGAGAGGGGACACAGAATAATGATTCACAGATGTAACAGAGACAGAAAAATAGAAATAAGGCAGAGAAAAGGTAAGATGAGTACTGTGGAAGTAATCGAATATGACATACAGTGGGGTGATGGTAGCTTGAAGTGAGAAGTCAACTGCCGGTTAATAGACTTTTTGCCGTATGGGTATACGTTGCCCAGAGTGCACCACGTGGAGGTAAGTCTATCGCACACCCCCTATGGATTGATATAATCTTTTTCGTCGTTTTGGGCTGTTATTCTCAATTGATAAGACCCTTAAATTACAACGCTATTTTATCGCTTTTATTCTGTCCATATAAGGGAAAGATTGAATTGGGAGGGGGGGGAGTAGGAAATTGTGGTAGAGACACTTTAAGTTCAAATTCTTTCTCTCTCTTCATCAATTTGAGGATAGCCTTTTGTCTGCAGATAAATGTGTCAATTGAAGCCTCAGTCTATGCGCGCTCTTTTGAGATGGTTACAGGCCGATAAATATGGATCACATCGGCTCGGTTACCGCTTACTCTAAACAACCTTTTGGTCTTGACATTCGGCTGGAAGCATAAATAGCTTATTAAACTCAAATCAATTATTGTACCAGGGAGGTATAGTGGGTTTTTATGCGTAAGTTGATCGCCCTTTGTTTGTATTCTATTACTGCTTTTTTTCCTATTAAACTTAGAATTGGGTCTTAATGATTCTTTTATCGGTTTCAAAATGCTTGTGCTGCTTAAAATTCTCTCAACCAGGTATTTGATTAATGTCTCCCCTAAGAATACTCAGGTATCTCTAGTTCTGTAGCTATGATCTATCGACGCCCTAGATATCACTAGGCGCCATTCCACCCCCCTATCCTGAGTTGTGGGTTAAGGAGAAATTCTGGTACTCCCAAAAACTTGGAGATTTTGCCCAGTATGCACTCGAATATCGATTGGGCAGTGCGCATACACGTCCATAAAATAGATCGATCATTCCACACAAGTGTAGTGAGAATTTGCAGCTTTCGGCGGATGTGGCCTTATTTATCATCTATTAGCATAGAGAATTCGATTCACATACCCCATCTCCCCTTTGTCCCGGTGTTTTTTCTCAATTGGTGTAAAAGTTTTCGTCTGCTTATTCTTTCATTTATTTACCATCAATTGGGGGTGGAGGGGGGGGGGAATTAATTGAGTTTGTGAGCATCGCCCTAATTGGTTGCATTTTCCAATTCTCCCCCTGCCAACTTCAATTGGTACAAATTATTCTTGATGGACAGCTTTTGAATGCTGATGTTACTATGATCTTATTTTCCCATAATTTCTACTCTATATTTGAGCATTAAGCTCTCTTTCCATTATCCAGAGGAGTTGATTTATCTTCTCAAATATCTGTGCCTAATGTAATCATTTTGTGTTGTGCAGTAATTGCTATGGCTTGATTTTGGGAACTTTGTTCATGTATCTCCGTCATAAAATTTTAAATATTTATTTATTTATTTCAAATGGCAGGCGTTTTGATGGTCATCATTGGCCCTTTATCTGACTTCGGGTTTCACAGAGGGAAGGAATATCAAAGTAACAGAACGTCGAGGGGTGGGGAACAGAAGAGTGATTCACAGATATAAAAGAGACAGGCAAGCATTAAGGTAGAGAAAAGGTGAGATGAGTACTGTAGAAGTAGTTGAATATGTCACCCAGTGGGGTCATGGTAGTTTGAAGTCAGAAGTCAACTGCCGGTTAATAGACTTTTTGCTGTTGGAGTACACGTTGCCCAGGTTGCACCACGTGGAGGTAAGTCTATTGCACACCCTAAATTTTAAATAAAAGTTTCTTTATTTTAACTCGTTAGAAACTTCGTAGCTTGTTAAGTTGAGGAATTGAATTTGAGGTCTTTCTGATACTTAGATTGCAACGCTATTTTACTAAATATGAGGTGCGTGATAGACTTACCTCCACGTGGTGCACCCTGGGCAACGTATATTCACACGGCAAAAAAGTCTATTAACTGGCGAATGACTTCTGGCGCAGTACTCATCCTACCTTTTCTCTACCTTCATGTCTGTCTCTTTACATCTCTAAATCACTCTTATGTTCTCCACCCCTCGACTTTATGTTACTTTGACGTTCCTTCCCTCTGTGAAGCCTGAAGTCAGCTAAAGGGCTAATGATAACTATCAAAACGCCTGCCATTCGAAATAAATAAATAAATATTTTACTAAATACCATTCGCAATAGTTTTTTTTTCCTTAGGCCTGCCTCAAGTTGTCAAAATTTAATTGTCACAAATTTGCTCAGTTACGTTTTAGAAAGCCATCGTATTTTTTTCGTTCATTTTTGTACAATCTACGAACTACAAATAGGCACAAAAAAAAACAAACTTCTAGCTAAGTACATTGCCACTACTAAATGTGTCAAATTGGACTGTAACACGAGGCCATTTGTTTAACCTTGTTCATTTATTTTCCCTGTCAAATACACTTCCTCCCCCCCCCCCACACGGAGTAATAAAAAACAATGTCCTTACTGCCTTGTCAGAACGCTCTCGCCACCTATTAAAACTAGAAAAAAAATTGCTCGGGGAAATTTTTCCTACCACCACCAGCGGTGATTCGATATTGCCATGGCAATCACACAACATTCGTCTGGATGGCTTTAGAGCCCAAAATCAAATTAAAACTTACATTTTGAAAATTGTCAACCAACTGTTATGGCGCTATTAACTCCCCTTTTAGATACCGATCTCAATTATCTACTGCAGCTTAGATGCCATTTAATGGGGGCGGGGGGGGGGGGGGGGATCGGAAGTCTAGACCTCTGCCCGACAGGCGGAAGGCATAGTCTGATTGTAATCTAGCTTACTTGTGTGTGTACTGATTAGTGATTTTTCAATAACTTCGCCTGTGGTCATAACAATCCAACTCACGTTAGTTACAGGACTGGCTGTGCAGTCGTTCGATTCCCCTCACTTTGTCTTGCTCTTTCCTTTCGCCCCGTTTATCGTTGAACTCCTCTCGTGTTTCTACCTTCTTGGTCTGTAGAACTGTGGTTGTCATCTGCTGCTACTGCTGCTGCTGTTTGCCAGGGCTTAGTCTCAGTCGGAAGTTCTGCCAACAAAATCCCGTAGTAAATGGTTTTCAGTAACTCATTCGGTCGGTCATTCCAAACCACATTGCACCCTCCTCTGCATGCAGGCAATAAAATAACATGTGACGATTTTACTACCACCCTAGTTAGAAACGTCGACTAGTCAGTCTGTGCTTCCAATTATTTGGTGGATATGATACTTTTCCATTGAATCCACATTTTTGTTCTTTCAACACTTCACAGGTTTGAAGTGAACTTGGGAATAAACTTGCTTTTTCTCATTTCCATTTTTTTATTAATCTCTTTTGTTTTCCGAATCCGATCGTCGTCCCCACAGGTTTTTTTTTTTACTCCTAGCCAAGCGCTTTCCACAGTCACCAGACCATTCGTGCTGGAATTGGCGTGAAAAAATAACTTGAACATTTCAGCGTTTACTACTACTGAAGTTGTTTACACCTTTACGACAAATTTTGCATAGAATTAGTAGGTCTACGATTTCTGCCTTTAAGTTTCTGAAATAAATTCCATTTGACATGTTATGAGGTGGCAAGAGATTCGAATATCCGCCAATATGGCATTTACTGGCGAGAACAAGGAATGAAATTGATGTTTATTTAACCAGATTTTAGCGGGTTGCAACCTATTGCATTTTCAATATTTTTTCCACTTTGAGATTTGTACTTTAGTTGAGTATAGATTGACTTTAGTTCGAAGGGTATTGAAAGTGCTGATTTTGTATAAATTTGTTAGAGTGCGTTTGATGTCGTTCAAGTATGTAACATCGGAAGATAGTACCAATTCCATTAGACTTCAGTACTCGATTCGAAAACGAACTTCTATTGTTCTCTCTCTCTCTTTCTCTTCTAGATACTCGACGGTGACGTTTACGATCGTTTCCGAGAAGTTCTCTCAAAGACCAGTGAAACCGAACTGGAAATTTGTCGACATCATCAGGATCCACTTCAAGCTCTGTTGGAGGAATCTGCTAGGGTAGGTGCTTTCTACTATCTTAACTATCTTGTGTTGGAAATACAATGCCTCATATAATATTACTTTGCTTGTCGGTAATTTCTGTGTTTATCATTCTAAAAATCAAGGTCATTTAGGAGGGCGTTTTCCATCACTATTCTCGGCTCGCGAAGAGTGGCATCATGGGGTCTCTTTGATGAGATCCTGTTACCCCCTTCATTGGCCAGATTTGATTAGTTCTTTGGTTTGCGCCGATGGGAGTCGAACCAGTGACCTCTAATATGATTGGCCTGTAAATTGACCTTCTAATCACATGTATCACCGGTAACTAATCGATATTACTTCAAGCGGGGAAAGCACTGCTGTGAAGGCACACATCATGCATTCAATGCCCCTCTGTGTGTGCCCTCGGTGGGTACAATAGCCAACTGTGCATTGGTTAAGTTTGTTAAATATAAAGAGGCAGTTGGTGTCTTCGCGAGTTTCACAGTAGAGAGGTTTCATCCAAGACGATTGTTGTAATGGACTTCCTTTAGCGGGGTTGGGAATTATTGCTACTCAATCAGTGCAGGCTAAATTTCCATCGATGCCATTTTCAAATACACCCACACAAAATCCTCCATTAGCTCTTGGGGAAAAAAATTTTTTTCATTTCCATCGCTTGTTTAATTTTGCTTTTGCAGATAAATCGGGCACAAGCTTGGGAGAACTTTATCAAAGAATCGCCGATCTTCTCCGAGTTTGTTGAATTTCAATTTGAACCACGGGATGGTGATACAGTAAGTTGAAGTTCAAAATAATCGATTAAGTAATAACGCTCCTGTTCCGTAAGTGGGTCACTAGATTTACCAACCCCCCCCCCCCCCCCCCCCCCCCCCCCCCGGNGATGGTGATACAGTAAGTTGAAGTTCAAAATAATCGATTAAGTAATAACGCTCCTGTTCCGTAAGTGGGTCACTAGATTTACCAACCCCCCCCCCCTCCCCCTCCTTCCCACCCTCCCATCCTACCGGGTTAAAATGTTCGACTTCTTTGTGGATATACCAACTTTTCTAATGACGTATTTTCCAACATTGTGTATTGATTGTCCAATATTTAGTCGAGTTAACTTTTTTGCACTAATTTGAAACGCCAATCTCCTATTGATGCAATCACAACTCATTTTAATATAACCTCCTGAGGGCTGAATTTTGCGTTGTAGTTTTGAAACGCCTGATTTGAGATAAAAGGAGATGCAAATTACTTATTTCAATGCGTAGATTTATGGTGACACGATGCCGTTCGCTATGATTCGAGATGGGAAAAATTTCCACCAGAGGTGGGGGGTGGAGGAGGGGGGCCTGTTTGCCAATTAGTAATCACGGAGGTGAAAGTTTGGCTTGCAAAATGTGTGAAGCACCCTCTGTAGTCAAGCTTCTCTTTACTTTCGCTTCTTTCTTAATTTACTCACCCTTCTCCACCCCCCCCCAATGCTTTAATTGCTCGAATCCTTCTCTTCATCTACTCTAAAAGTCGGCTTTATCACTGATACGCTTAATATTAGTCGGAACTGAATTATGCAATGGTGACTCAAATATGTTAAAATCTTGAAGATCTCATGAACGCAACATTGATTTTATATCAGGGGGGGGGGGTTCGAGTCTTAAGGAGGTGGTATTTAATTTCGCCCAACGAAGGAGGCCGTTTCATCGGCATTGCCTCAACGCCTACTTCAATTAATACTCCCCTCAAAAAGGTGAATCATTTGAAGTACTAAATTAATGCCCTAACGTTGGAAAGTAAGCTGAGTAACTACAATCTACTTATCTCTTGTTTGCATCACGAGCGTCGACCCCACTTTTGGAGTAACAAGAACTGAAGTCACCAATTTAAGAGGAGGGAGGGAGGGAGAGAGAGAGAGAGAGATGATCGGGAGGCTAACTAGCGGGTAAATGACAAGCGCGTGTTTGTGAGTGGGTTTGCACGCATGGTTTTTACAAGTCAATTGGCACCAAATGTTCCCGGAGTAAAGAGCGTAGGTGTGGTGTGCTTTCAAATGAGTCATGATGCTTGAAAGCCAAGAGGAAAAATGCTTTTAAAGTCTTCTAGATATGATGATAGGGGGTAGTGTTTGAAGTGACCTACCAGTTTGTAGACTTCTTTGCCGTATGAATATACCTTGTCCAGTGTGCACCGCGTACCGAACACGATTGCCTGGTGAAACACCTCCAACACCAACACGCACCCTATGTAACCTACAGGAGGAAATGGAGAAGACCCACCTGATACGGTGTCCAGCCCTACAGAAATCGACAGGAACCCAGAGATGCTGTGGGTTAATTATAACTATCATAATGCGAGCGAAAATTAATATGTTTTCATTAGAGGACGTGATTTAGGGGCAATTGCAAGTATCACTGCACTGAAAATTGTACATTTATTACTGTCAATTAGACAACGTTCTCCTATGCGTTCCAAAAATAGATTTTTTTATTTTATTTTTTGTTAAATTTCCAACCTTGTTTCTACTTCTGTTTAGTTGATTCTGTTTCAATTACAAAAAAGATCTAGTGTTTTTTAATTTTCTAATTTACATGGGAGTTTGACAAAAAATATATCGCCTTTTTTTAGTCTGACGTGCTTACGGTTTTTTTTGATGTTTCATTTCCAACCCGTCTGGTGAAATGGCCCCGTTTTTAATTGCCTTGCAGCGTTGAATGCTCTTGTCGAAAAAAAGGCTTCCATTTATTAGCTCTATGAGGAAATGGCGCCGTTACGCTGTGGTGATTTTATCTAAAAGCAAAAAATATATCGCTTACCTTGAATAGCAGCGATGCGTAAAATAAGCCTTTCAGGTAGTGAAAATGAAAGGTGAGGAGGGAGTTAAATTTTTCGGGATTTTCCCTATTCTGAGATTTGGAAATGTTGATAAATCACTTGTTCAAATGTAGTACGGCAGCTAGTTAATAATAGCATATTTCTTAACTCTCCCTCCACACACACACACACAGCGAGAGTCTCTCCTTCTCCATGCTTCAAGCCAATTGAACCTTGTGATTGGTGATTTGCAGATGTGGAATGATTAGAGAAGACTCAGTGGACTTAGGGAGATGGCGTGCAACTATTAACGCCGAATGGTAGTTTAGTCAAAGAACAAGGCGGAACTGCATCAAGCACGTTGTTATTTAAGGCAATAGAGGCAGACTGTGCTATCCCAAACGGGCACACACGCACACAAACAGCACTCAAGCTGAATATGGAGGCAGATTGTGTGTATCAACGAGGAAGCTTGTGTGTGCGTGTGTCTCCACGTTCTTTTCCTTTGTAAAAATGCGAAAATGTTCATGGTGGAACTTTCCATTTAAGCAAATTGATTACTTTCTAGGCGTTTGGGGAGTCGACGAGGTGAATCATGTGTATTATTGACAGGCGGGAATTCCAATTCCGCAGTGGAAATAGTTGCTTGGAGAAAGCAGTCCCTTAGATTCAAATAAAATTAATGGTGGATCGTTTTGATCCGAGAATTTCTTCAATACGTATTATTGGTGAAACAATTGAACCCTTAAAGGTCTTTCAAAATGGAGTGATTGTTATGCTGAATTGTACTGTGTGTGTGTGTGTGTGGTAAATTGAGTTCCTAATACTAATTTTTTATACAGTTATTTCAGGCATTAGCTTTTGTTATTGTGTGGACATAGCATTTAAACATGATGTTATTCATAGATGAACTGAAATAAACAGGAGATTGCATAGAAAAGGGGTTACAGTTTGTGGTCGGGGTAATGTGCCTTTTCACCATTTTCCACTTTAATTTTTAATGAATTCAATACTTATTATCCCCTCTAAAGACTGTGAACTATAATGAATTTTTGTGATAAAATCAAATTTATTGATTGGATTTCATTTTATTCTATCGAGCATAGCAAATCATTGCCAACTTACCCGTGCCATTCTTAAGACCACTTTGCATTAAGATTTAAATACTTTCTATCAATTTGGGAACAAATGGTTTCTCTTGTAAAGCCTTGTCCTTTGTGCGATTTAGTACTGTAGAAATCACAATTAGCAGTAGAAAACGGTGGTAAAAAGGAACGTATTTGGTCTCAATAGCTACGGAGGTGATAGAACCAGCCCATTTTCTGCATTCAACGCACAAAAAGGTCTAAAACCGACTCCTTTTTCTTTCAGATTTTCTCACTGCTTTCTGTGAACGCCAAGGAGGGTAGTTTCGAGCAGGTCGCCAAGAAGCTAGCCCGTCGATTTGTTACGCGTGAAAGGCGAATCAAGTCCTATCGACAGGAGATTAGCGACCTCTGTACTGGCCGGCTCAGTCCTTCTTCTTCTGGAATGACAGTTCCACTCAGTCAAGTGCGTCAACTTTAGCATATTTGATACTGTGCGCACGCTCCCTCTCTATAAAAAAATCCCCTAACCCCCAAGTTATATGAAGTTCACACCTCTTTGTAGCTAGCTCTTCATGCCCTCTTCCGTAAAGCAAGTTCCGTGTTCCCCTTCCTCTGTTTGTTTATTTGTTTGTTTGTTTTTGCGTTCTAATTTAATTCAACCCAGACCCGCAGCACTATCCGACTGATTAATGTCTAGATCTTGGGCAATTAACACCAATTACGTATACAGAATCAAGCCCTCGATCGCGCTTAATTTTACTCATACGCTTAGGGTACTAATCTCCTCCTCCTCCACCCCCCCCCCCATTCCCCAAATTGTGATTAATGGTTTTTTTCGTTATTGGGTTGGCCTTCCACCCTTGCTTTCTGTTCTTGCTGCTAGTTTCGTGTATACTACTAACTATTTATTAGCGTCAATGTTTTTCTTCTCATCTTTTAAAGTCATTGCCACAACAGACACTACGAAAGGTCTCGGTTAAGGTGAGTTATGTGCTGCTAGAACTCTTCCCCCCCCCCACCCCCCGCGCTTTAAAGCACTGTTGAATTGCTCTTCTGGCTTACTCCTTGCACTGGTAGCCTGCACTCTTTTATGTTGTGCTGTTGACATGCGGCTGAGGATGCTTTGTGGAGGGAGGGAGGGGGGGCTGTCTCTTGAGCCTGGGGTCTGGATGGAGAATAACTCACACTCACACACATACACACATTGTTGGAGGGGAAAGCCCTTGTGCCTTAGAATGTGATGCTTTGTGGTGTAATCTCGTGGTTGAATGATTGCCTGTCTCCTTGATTTTGAGGTTCAGGTTGCCCTAATCGCAACTTAACATCTGATGACAGATCTAATTATTGAGGAATTTGGCAAGCAAGATTGGCAATTATTTGGGAAGCGTATTGGCTAACATTTTGGATGGCTTGCGGTAAACCCGCTTTTGATTGTGATAGAACGTCTCACAACAGTTTAGATGGGAGTAACCAGCACCTGATGGTTAGATTGGTTACTCATTAAGAAAGGTGAGCTATAATTATAACCGTGGAATGAAGTGAGATCGAAGAGAATGACATTTAGTTGAGAGTGGGTTGCTCTGGTAAAGCACAATTCATTCGCGAATTGCAAATTGCTTGAGGCAGTTTTGGCTTCAAAGACAAAAATGCGCCTTCAGAAATTGTAGTAAAAGTAAATCTGATCTCTCCGTTGATAAGACAATAAAATAATCTAATTTTCCACAATTCATAGTTTTTTTCTCTCCTCCATTGTTTATTGCTGCCACTTTGTGGAATGGACGACGATCAGACAGTTGGCCGTGGGCTTGTCTATGGCCACAATATGCGTCAAAACAGTCTGCAATTCGCATTTAATTCACACAGTTGGCTGCACTCTTCATACTTATTTCTCCTAGAATATACCCCCTTATGAACAGAGCACTTTTGTTTTTTGACTAAATTCCTATTAAGTCAAGTGGAATAATCGCTGTGTAAAAATCAAAATTCTGAGTTTTCGTATATTCTTAATGTTTCCACGCGAAATCCCTTCTATCACACACACGCACTTTAAGTACTTCCAACTTTGCCTTAACAACTACGTGATCACGAATGCACACCCGTGAAAACTGATTCCGGACCCCCTACCACCAACCCATTGGCATTAACTCTTAATCTTGAAATATGTCATCATCATCATATCAAATGGCAGGCGTTTTGATAGTTTGCATTAGCCCTTTAATTGACTTCAGGCTTCATAGAGGGGAAGGAACATCAAAGTGACAAAAAGTCGAGAGGAGGGTTAGGAACAGAAGAGTGTTCAAAAATGTAAAAGAGACAGGCACAAAGGTAGAAAAAAGGTGAGGTGAGTACTGTGGATGAAGTCGAATATGGCATATAGTGGGGTGATGGTAGTTTGAAGTCAGAAGTCAACTCCCAGTTAAGACTTTTTTTGCCGCATGAGTATACGTTGCCCAGGGTGCACCACATGGAGGTAAGTCTATCCCACACCCCTATCTCGAAATATGTAAGTTTACACTAGAAATGGCAAATCAGGTATATGTAATATCATTTCAGAATGTTGATCTATAATGATGCTGGTAGCATTTTAAAAATTACGCACTAAAACTGATCAAGAGTTATATGGATGGTTCTGTCACCTTCCTGAGCACTGTATCATCAATGAATATTCACTCATCCCAAAGACATTTATGACCTTTTTTCCATCCTTAAGGAATATGAAAACTGCGAAGAGAACGGTGCGTTGAATCAGGAGTATGTCGAGAACAAAATGGAGGAATTGGAATTCGCAATTCGACGAGAGGAGGTGAGACTTCTTTCAACAGGATTTTGATTCTAATTTGCAATTCTTTTAAAGCACTCCTTTCTCACTACTTATTATTGATTAAACAAATGACGTCATTGTGTCTTCTCCATGCAATCATTTCGAGGGGAGTTATTGTTATTGATTTCCCATAACGTAATCGGTAATCGCGATAGCGACCAAATGTCTTTGTAAATACGGAGGATTTTTTTGAATGCTTGATAGAGGTTAAGTTATTGCTCTAGGATTATACAAGTCCATGGGGTTGTTTTGGATTTGTATCAACTTTGTGAATGGCTCTCCAATGCTCTCCGCTATATTTCATATTCTCTTACCTCTAAAAAGGTGGTTTTTACGACAATTGAGCCTTTAGGCATAATTTTTTTGCGATTTGGAGTCAACAGTTTTGACTTATCATTTCAAAATTTCTCCGGTAAAGGCACTATATGTGATATTTGGACAGGTTAAGGGGATTTCGTTCTTTTCGAAGATGACTAGACGAGTTAATTTTCATCTCACCTTGAAACCTCTTACGGTTTCTTTTCGTACATTTCTAATGAACCTTTCATCACTTCAATTAATTATGCTTAATTAACAAAACTTTACTTGTGGACATTTTTTAAAACAGATGAAGAACTGATTTAGTCAGTTACTTCGAAGCCTCTTCGTTTGATTTTACTAATACCGCTCATTTGCAAGGGATACTCTATCCACGCACACACATACACCCAGGTCTACTTGGAAAGCGTTTGTTTCTATGAGGAGAAGAACAGCACCAACGAGGAATTCGAATCCTCCTTTGGGCGCCTAATTCTAAATCTCTGACTTCACACTCAAGCACGTTAACCACTGTAGATGATTTAGACGTTGATATACGTTTACAACCTAAAGAAAGTGATCCCAAATAATTTTCTTACGAGAATAGTGGGTTGTTGGCGCGACTGTCTCGATTCGCTTTTCCAGCTAGCCAGCCACCCGAACCAACTGAAAATATCGTCTGGAAATGCCACCTAAATATTTTAATGCCAATATGGCCGAGTGACTTTTCAGTTCACGCTGATAACATCTCGATGACAGGCCATTTTAGAGGGCGCTTAGAGGCTGACCAGAATTTCAGATATTATCTCTGTTTCTATCATGCCAATTCAACTACTTGACTGGACAAATCTTGTGATGCTGACTGAGAAGGTCGTATTTGTGTTATGTTAAAGCCGCAATAAAATTCACATTTGCTTTTTAGTAATTAGAATAGAGTCATTAACTCGGGGGGTGGGGTGGGGTGGGGGGGGGGAGAGATTCATTTCTACCTTTTTGTTTTCCAAGTATGGCGTAGATTTCTCGAGCTCGTCTTTGCCTTTTTTTCAAGCCAAATGACTCCTAATGATGTGACATCTTTAAATGTGTGTGTGTGTGTGCTTTCAGTAGGGAACGTTTTAGAGGTGTTACAAAGATAACGCTTAGGGATGCTTATTATTGATTGTTTTCTTTTCCTACTTTAGATTGAGAAAACCAAAATAAAGGCCTGTCTGGAGCTGCTTAAGCAAACAAATGGCAAGTTTGGACTTTATTTAATTCAACTCCAAAAAGTGTGGTCCATTGCATGTTCTTTTATTGTTCCACTGCTGGTGGTGCGCCAGTCTGGATGTTCTCTGGCGTTATGCATTTTTGAGCCTGTTCAATGGGCGGACTTGTCACTTTCATCCTTTTTTAAATGCGAATCCTGAAATGTCCACATCACATTAGATGGGGGGGGGGTTGGTGGTATTGAAGTATAATAACCAGAGATTTCTCTGGTGCTATCCAATCACAACACGCACACACACACACACACTCTCTACTTTCTTTGCGCTCAATTAGTCACGAGAAACCTCCCCTCACTAACTACCGATTTGTTGTTATGATCGCAAGTTTGAGGGAGGATCGGAAAACTTGGTCCAAGGGTGGTTTCGGATCTTTGTTAAGTTTCTTCATCTTCAAAACCCTTGAAATTAAGAATGCGTGTTTCTCTTAAGAATTGATTCTCAGCTTGGTGGATAACTGTGACGTCTTTAAAATATAAAATCAAAATCACCCCATAAAATAAGGTTTGCAAAGCTATCGAATTTCATGGGGTAAAGCCATTGTAGACATCAGAAGAGTAAAGTTGTCAATTTTGCTGGAATTTTTATCTAAACCAAATTTTTTTGACTCGTTGTCTCAACCTATGACAACTCACATTTTTTCTCTTTTCTGCATAAAAAATTGTGTCTGCACCTTTCAAATTGGCAAAAAATGAGGCTTCATGCGTTTTGGAACATTATTTACCACTTGTTGACATCACCGTAGCTATCACCCCACACACACGCACACACACACACACACACACACACCGTTTGTTTATATTGAGTCTCGGAATTCTTTTTGAAATGGTTTCAACTTCTCAAGCTTACTTACTTAAAAAAGTCTTTCCCAGCATTCGTTGTTTACAGAGAAGTTACGTTGCATATTTCCCTGACAGGAAATTCCAATTTTGTCACGCAGTTTTTGTTAGTCGAACTCGGCTAGTGTGGGCTTGAACTATAATGGCTTTCGAATTCCTGATTTCGTAGGCTGGTGTTAATAGGGGTTCCTTCAGAGTACTGTGAAACAACGATTGATTCCCTTTCCTCCTTAGTGTAATGTCAACTAGCTCATGCTTCCAGATGTCGTCAAAAGTAAAGTTTTGCAGCCACCATTCTGTCCATGGCGAAGAGGGAAGGTCTTCAATTTCCAATCATTGAGAGGGGTGATGAAGGGTTTTTCAATCAACGACCTCTGAGCTAAGTCATCTGGTTCTGCTCTCTGAAATCGTCAGGTTACCTACATTTGAATTTGCTTTCATTAATGCTTTTGCTTGTTGCCTGTCTTCCCTTCATCGAGATTCCAAGTAAAGTGCTTTCGGTAGATTCTGTCTTCATTTTCTTTTCACACAAGTCAATCGGTTTGTGGAATGTCTGCGTTTCGGCAATGGTGTATTCACCAACCGCCTTCTCATCTAACGTGTTTTGTAATGAATCACAATGACCCCGAGTGTCAATGCAGATCATTTCCATTTTTCTCGCATCTTTTTTTTACTATCTGGTGTTCCAGTAAACGCGGGATAGATGTCGTCAAAGGGTTCAAAATTAAAACCTTTCTCTCTTTTTCACCAAATGCCTGCTTCACATCTGCTTTATCTAGTGGCATCCTTTTCTTCCCAATTTCGTGATTGGAAATTCAATAAAAGTTTAACGAATCTCTCGCATTTTTCGGGCAGACCTACCCCCCCCCCCTCCCCCCAGAGGTAATTTTGCAGCGCAGTATCTCAGAACAATTTGCTGCCCTCATCTTAATGTCATGAAACCGTAAAGAAGAATAGGCTGGATGAATACTCCACTGAATTTTGTTTGACTTTTAGTAGAACCCACTTTCCATCTTAGAACTGGCAACTCAATGCCAATAGACGTTTATTTTTGGGCTCCATAATATTGAGCCTTATAGCGTCATTCGCAGCAAAACCAAAATATGCACGGGGACTTGTTCATTAAATCCTATGCTAACCTGTTCCAGATTTGCACCTGATTACCTCCAGACTGTTTCTCTTCAAACCCCATTTCCACGTCATTTCAAATAGTAATACGACACAAGTTGTCTGAATAGTCAAATTGCCCCCAATGTGACCACTGGGCTCCTGCGGAACTCACGAGTCGCTCCTTTTTTAAATTTTTAAATTCTCGCAAGTTGCATTGATTGCCTAAAAACATGAATTAGAACATTTTTTTAAATTTCCTTTTTATTCTTGTTAACAATGGTGTTCTTTTTATAAATACTACGCCACTTTGTTTCAATCTATGTGCTCCATATTAGATTCATTGCGTCGAAAGAAAAATTTTAAATAGGGTACAATTGAATTTGATAAAGCCCCCAACATTTTTTGATAACCAAAGAGTTGTGAAGTGGTGAAATAGTTCTGTCACGAAACTGGTTTGCCTTCTTTCAACTTCTTATTACTGGGATGTGCGATAGACTTGCCTCCACGTGGTGCACTCTGGGCAACGTATACTCATACGGCAAAAAAGTATATAAACCGGCAGTTGACTTCTGACTTCTAACTACCATCACCCCACTGCATGTCATATTCGACTACTTCCACAGTACTCACCTTTTTTCTACCTTTGTGTCTGTCTGTCTGTCTCTTTTACGTCCGTGAATCATTATTCTGTCCCCCCTCTCGACTTTTTGCCACTTTGGTATTCCTCTTCCTTTCTGTGAAGCACGAAGTCAACTAAAGGGCTAATGATACCTATCATAACGCCTGCCATTTGAAATTAATAAATAAATAAACTTCTTATTACCAAGCTGTCCCTACGAAAAATGCCTTAAATTAAGGTCTTGTGTGATATCAGGAGAGACTTTTATTGCGATATTTTCATTCCACTCACAATTTCATATCCCAATCACCGAGCCAACGTTAATCTCTCTCTCCCTCTCTGCTACCTCTGTCGTGGTGTGACTTGTCGAGCTAAAACGCAGTTATTCGATCAGCAATAAAAATTTGTATTTAAATGGAAATAATATAGGAAATGAGTGGAGGTGGCTACATAGGCGATCAGGTTGGTTTTGAGAAAAAAAGGACCTGTTTCTAAGGCATGCAGCTATTTGGTCTGCAATCTCCATGACAGAGATACCAACCGGCTGGTAGGGATAGCCGATCTAATATCTGGAACTGGGGGGGGGAAGGGGGTAGTGTGGGATCGATCAACCTCCACGTGGTGCACCCTGGGCAACGTATACTCATACGGCGAAAAAGTCTATTAACTGGCAGTTGACTTTTGACTCCAAACTACCATGACCCCACTGTATGTTATATTCGACCCCTACCACAGTTTTCATCTTACCCTTTCTGAGCCTTTGTGTCTGTCTCCTTTATATCTCTAAAACACTCTTCTGTCCCCCCCCCCTCTCGACTTTTTTTCTATTTGATGTTCCTCTCCCTCTGTGAACCCTGAAGTCAACTAAAGGGCTAATGGCAA